GCAAATCAAGTGATCTGGGCTCTGGGAAGTTGTTTTTCACTACTTTCTGATATATCATAGACTAAACAGTTCATATTGATCGAGAAAACAATCTGCAGATGAACTAAAACTGAAAATAATCATTAGCCGTGGCCCTCTGAAATCTATGGAATTGAAATAATCAGCTCGCCTGCAGCAGCTTCACGGTTAGAGTACCAGTGAGAGACTGTGTCTGTTGTAACATGGCGGGAATCTTCATGAAGCTGCTGATATGAAACGAAGCAAGGCATTGTTGGGAAAGACAGTCTGTGCTCAGCAAAGTATTTCCTGGATAAATAAGCTGTGATTGTCTGCAGCTTCTCAGGTTGAGGTGTGAGGTGAACAGAAGAAAAGAGGATTCACTATTTTCTACGTGTGAAACGTGAGAGTGCATGTAATCGATTTGGCGTTGTTGTGTTTCGCCATAAATCATGTTAAACGCCGTGGGAGCAGTTAAACACTTGGCAGAGCACAGCGGAGAGGAGAGGGAGAGGGAGGGAGCAAAGGAGCATGGGATTGAAAAAGAGGAGAAGTCTGTTTTAACATGAAGCTGTTACTTAAGTTCGACTGTTGACAGATCTCACAGGACATGATGGGAAAGTACCAACGGTTCAGTGTCAGAAGGTTATTGGTCCATTATCGGCAGATAAACGATCAATCGTGAGCAGATTAACTCTGCTTCTGTTTTTGTGATACGTCATGTGTCTATCAAACAGATATATGCAGTGCTTGAAGAGACGTGTTGTGTTGTTGTTTGTGTTTTTCGGAAGAATTTTACGAAAGATTCAGGCAATACTGTTCATTAGTTTTATATAGACGAGTCCGAGCAGGAGCAGAAGAATAAAGAGAAGATTTTATCTTTATACAGCAGAAATCTTTCAGCAAAATTCAAGAAAACTGACAAGAGAAAGTGCAAATTAATGTGAGTTTTCACACATTATTTAGTTATTGTCACTATATTCAGTGTGATGGGAGGTTAGTCTGTTATTGGCAGGTAAACAGTGGATTTTTTGAGCCTTTTCGGATGCAACCTGCGCCTGAACATGTCATCCATCGAACAAAACAGAATCAGGTTTGAAGCTCACACAAATAATGGATAGATATATTATTTGTTTGGCTGCGTTTTTCATGAATTGAGCCACGATTCACGCTATTTACGTGATAAGTTGTGAGGAAAATCTGTTGAGCTTGATCAAAAGTGAAATGATGCAGTTAGAAGTTTGTATCTCATGTCATACCACGCTGTTTATATGATTTCTTTCAGGCGCAGTGGATTGCATATGAACTATATTTTCTTCTGTGTGTCATTCTGTCTCTTTCTCAGTCTGTTGTTACATCAGTAACAGAATATTTAGAGCCTGCAGAGTGGCCGTCGGCCAACATGTGCTGCACCGTTAATCAAAGCGAATAAAACACAGTGGTGTAAATCAGCACAAGAGGGCATCTCAGTGTAATAAAAACTAAAATACTGAACAGTGTTTTTTCTCTCGTCTGTTTAACTGGTTGATTTATGTCTGTTTTTTTTCTGTTGGTGAACCAGACTCCGTCCAAACTGTCTCTCTTGGCTCTTTGGTGTATTTCGGGATTCGTACCAGTTGTTCCGTGACTCAGATTATGTGTTCCCTCCATCTTTCTGTGATCAAACCGGCCAATCATGGTGTGTGTTTCTTTTTTGTGCACCAAAATGCTTTGGTTGCGCATGTTGGCTAATCACACATAGCATTTGCATTTCCTGCGTCCCTTGATATCAAACTTAAACATTACCTTTTTGGTCTTCCTCACGCACGCAAACTGGAAGGAGATTTAATCACAGTGGTTCATTTTTTTTATGCTTTAATGGTTAAAACCAACCCATCTGGTTTGGTTGTTCCCTGGCATCTCCCTGTCTCTGCTCCACACTCAAATTATCTGTCTTGGTGCTTTTATGGCTCTGACCAAACTGCGGTCTTTCACTGGGCATTTTCATGTCTTTATGCAACGTCTTTTGATGATATGAAGCACTTTCTGTGGTTGTTTCATTCATCTGACTCAACCAGAAAGTCATGAGAGGAGGACTTTGACATTTTGGGGAATGCACCTTTTAAGCTTAATAAGTGAATTAAGGTATTCCCAAAAAATGTCAAACTTTGGTTGATGTCTTTCCATTTTTAAATGACATTTAGGTCATTTTCAGTCAACAATGTTGAACATTCATTGGTCCCCGCAGCTTAAATGTAAGAAGTTGCTGATTGTTTTGGTCAAATCTGATCATAAACTGAATTATAGTTTCAAATATTCACTAAACAATCTATAAATAACTGTCAGATTAACTGGCAGTGAAAATAGTTGCAGCCCTTAAACTGAGCAGTTAAGACACCAAAAAAACCCAGCTGAAAATGTTCTCATATTTAATATCTTTCTTTCTGCCCGGCGATATAAAACAGCTGCAGTTTCACCTCAGACAATTCCATATGTTTCTGGAAAACACTTAGAGGGTGTATGAACCCCCGAGGATGTGCAGCGTGCCAACGCCCCGCAGCAACACCCCAGGCTTCGCACTCATTTTCAAAGTCGGGCTTCTCAGCATGAGCTCCTGAGTTCATGTCAGGTTGAGAGAGTTTGCTTGATTTAACCCCTGAAAGACGAGGATAGTTTGCTTTGAATAAGGTCAGTGATTGAATCTGTGCAGCATAGAAATGCTTTGAACGCGGACCAGAACCAGAAATACTCTCTTCTTGGTGTTAAACCAAATCAACATGTGATGTGACCAACACGTAACAGAAAGTCTTGTTTCACCGCAGCGGAGCAGAAAACAAGCACCTCAGTGATCACTTCAGATTAGAACTGACAGATTCTGAATCATGATGGTTTCCAAAGAACGGGTTTCGCTCTCAAACATCGTACGGCTGAACGTCTTATGTCCGTCCTCGCTGACTGGAAAGGCCCCAAACTCAAAATAACTAATAAGTGAAAGAGTTGTCCACTTCCTCGCGTCGGCCGTCATTTTGTCGAGGAGAAGTTTTTGAAACCTCGACAAACGACCACGTTGACTCCAGAAATGACTTTACCAGTCAGCACGTTTCTGTGTTTCACATCTGAGCAGTTTCTGGACAGTTTCAGATTCCTTATGGAGGCTTTCTATTCTAGGCATCCAGTCATTCACAGACTGTCCTCACCCCACGAAACACAAGTCTGATTCATCAGTTCGTCAATTTAACGACGTATAAAGCTGCCAGTTACTCTAAACCCGAGAAAGAAGACACAAATCGTAGTGATGATCCCTCAGATTACTATTATGGAACAGTTCCAGGATGTAAAAAAAAATACTTTCACTGTTTGTACAAACGAATGAAGCAGAAAAATGTCAATTTTTAGACTCAAAAAGCTCTTTGAAGTGGTTTCCTCAGCTTGCCTAATAAAATAAATAAAACATGCAACGATGAATAGATACAACGTTTTCAGGGATAATTTGAAGTCTTCATTGTGAAGCATCTCCGAATTACACATGAGAAGACACATCGTGTTTCCGTCGCTGACGATCTCATTTAGGGAACAAAACTCCTCTGTTGGAAAACCGGCTCCGTCCAGATGGATTGAGTGTTCTCCGTCGACCACTTCACATGAGTGTTGTCTTCCAGAATCTCTGCCACCCCGCTGTGCTCGGTCCCCGGGGGGAAAACGCCGAGGCCAACGGGTAATTTTGTGGCTCTGCCTATTATCCTCGTTTAGCCTGGGCTGAGCCAGCCCTCCATCCACTGTGTGTCAGACTGCAGATCATTCGCAGCTTGAATTTGTATAAAAAAAAAAAAACGTCGCCAGTGCTCCAAAGCAGCAGCCTGCGCAGCGAGGAGGGCTGCAGCTGATTGTTATTTTATGAATAATTCATCTACTGAATATTTTCTCCATTAATTGGTTCATTTTTGGATGACAAAATGTCAGAAAAATTGTGAAAGCTATCCCACAGATCAAGATGACGTCTTAAAAGTCTTAAAGTCCAAAAACCAAACAAACATATTTTTTTAAGTAGTTGCCAATTAATTTTCTCTCCTCCAACAAAAACATACCTCTCTATTATTGTATTCAAGAATTATCCAGATTCGTGACTTTAATTAATTTAATTGAATTAATTGTTAATTGTTTTATCCTGTTAAAATGGTGATATAACAATAAATAATCAGGTGTTATTAAAAAGACCTTTAACAGAGAAAATAAACAGCAAATCTTACTCATGGAGAAGTTGGAACCAGCAAATGTGTGAGATAAAAAAGAAGAAACACCAGAAAGTAAAATGTGCAGATGCAAAACATTTAATATTCTGTTGGTTTGATATTTGGATCAACGTGTCCTTGCCCTCCTCCTCCATCAGTCCATCCATCATCACTTCTAACTGTTTTCTTCCACTAAAATCCACCTGCTTCCTCCCTGAGAGGATATTTTTAGGTGCGCGGGGCAGTTATTTTTTCTTTCGTTTTTCTCTGCTGCCCCGGCAGTGATAAGAGCTGCTTGATAAGTGTCTGAGGAGGAAGAGGAAGAGGAGGAAGAGTTGAGCGACAGTGTTGTAAGACGACAGGAAACATCAGGCGGCCCCACCCTGATAGAAAGACGCAGATATGTGCTGTTCCTCTTTCTGTTTCTCTCACTTCACACTTTTTTATTTCAACATACTAATGCAGGTTTAAACGCAATCAGCTGTTCACAGACGTAAAGAGTCGCTGCTGCAATCACCCACAACGACTGTGAACAGAGATTTGAACACTGGGTGGAGAAAAGTAAAAGTTGTTTCTTAAATGAGTTTCTGTTCCTGTTTTTCTTGTTTGGGGTGAAGTATGAGCAAAAAGGTGAAATGAGTTCAACAGCAAAAACAGGAGAAAGTCAAATAAATATGATTTAGGCAAGAATTCAGATGAGATCATCTTTCATTTTTCATCCAGGAAACAATCTTTCAATTGTTTGTTGGTGAATCAGAAGTCAAATTCAGCTTTTTCTTTCTTCTTTACCTGCAGCCACCATGAAGAAAAACCAGAACGGCTCCAGCTGGACCAGCGAGCGGAGCCTGATGTTCGGGGGAAACGTCCCGAACGCGCTGACTCCATCCGCCGCCACGACCAACTCCACCTCCTCCTCTTCCTCGCCCTTCGCCCATGTGACCTCCATCGACGGAGTCAGCTTCTCTGAGGGAGACCTGCTGCTCCAGGTAACGCCTCACACCTCAGACCTGGTTCTGTGTTGTTGCATGAACTGACTACACCCCATGTGCATGAGGCCAGATTGTGAGACGACATAAAGATGGAGAGGGAACAAGAAAACCTCTCAGAGCTGCACAAAACTGCAGATGAAACTTTGCCAAAGAACATGAAAGGAAGCCTGATGTATGTTGGCAGAACATTCTCTGGTCGGATGAAACCAAAGTAAATGTGTTTGGATCAGATGTGGATCAGCATGTTTGGCATGGACCTGATCAGTGACTGCTCAGTGCCAACCCCTGAAACATGGAGGTGGGAGTGTGTGTGTGTTTTTTTTACATGGCACGAGTTTGTTACTGAATGAAAAGATGGAAGGAATTTTCCAACATGAAACTGATCCCAAGCACATGAGTGAAAACTAGGACCTGAGCTGGTGTGTCCCCTGACAGAGCAACAAAACCCCTCCAGCAAAGAGCAGCTGAAACCATCATCTGTGAAGTCATTGATAATAATATATTTTTTTTTTAATATAATAATGAATGAAGTGGTTTTTTTGTGGTTTTCTTTTGTTCTGCAGGCGCTGAACGGCTTCGTGTTGGTGGTGACGGCTGAGGGCTACGTCTTCTACACATCCCCCACCATCCAGGACTTCCTGGGCTTCCATCAGGTGAGAGCGTGTCTGCACAGGTGACACCAGATGTGAACGGTACAACGAGCATTGTTTGTTTCAGAACAAGAATATGTGGCGGGCGGTGTTCTCGTGGGATATGAGATAAGACAATTGATTATTAGTCATACAGCGGGTAAATGCTTCTACCTCACTGTCAAGTTGTGTGTCTTCAGGTTCATCCCGTGCTTTAGGAAGAGTTTTCTGGAAAAACATAGAGATAGATAATGAGATACAGAATAAGAAAAAGTTAAATGTCTCAGCTTTGGGGGCTTGTTATTCCAATCAGTCCTTAATCAATATATTTCTTAATCAAGATAACAGGTTCTACATTTCACCAGATGTTGAAACTTGATTGATTCTTGTCGTAAAATTGACAAGCTCTACTAGGGAGAAATGCACATATGTTCTCACGCTAACAGAATAGAAAAATAAAAAAAAAACAAATGAAATGTGGCAAAAAGACAAAAAAACAAACATTGGGAGCAATAAAATGAAATGAAAATTGATGACTACATTATGTTTTCATCAAAAACTTTCATTCTTAATTCCTCTTGTTTTATTTCCATGTGAAAACAAGATGCATGTTTCTGTTGTTCAGTATCTTTAAAATCTTCCTTTATCATAAGTACATTTATTCATCGTCACTTAAATCCAGTTTTTTTTTCCTTTGGTGATGAAAGAGTCAAACTTGATATATCTCACCCTGTTGTGTTGTTTTCTGACACATGCTGGAAAAATCAAAGGCTTTTTAACGTTTTTTAAAGCCTGAGAATCGAGGGACTCACTCTGCACACACCTGATTATGTCCACTTTGGAGTCAAGTGAGGAAAAATAAAAACTGCAGATCTGCTGCTGAGTGTTTTTTTTTCTCTTCGGAGCAGCAGGTATCTGCCACAGAAATGATAAAATCAGCTGGCATGAGGAGGAGCCAGTCTGTTTCCACTCCACTGACCTCCTGAACTCTGATGTTCCTCTTAAAACATCCTTTAAAGGAGCACAACGCTGCACAGATCGGCCCCATTTCCTACTGTCTGTGAAGCAGTTGGTTTCAGTTCATGTGCGTGCACTATAAAAGTCAGAGATGGGAATCTATCAGCCTTCACATTTTGTTCTTGTCTGTCACTATATACTTACAGGCTGTGAGTCTCCCCTGTCTTAAACACTGTGAAGGACACTCTATATATAACCATGTCGGGAAACAGAATAGAAACTTTATAATGTTAAAGATCCCATATTATATAAAAGTAGATGTACGTGTGTTCTTTTGTTATAAAGCATAAAATCTTCTTTTTGAACAGTTGACAGAATTAAATGATTTTATTTGAGTATGAGGCTGATTCAGCTGTAAAATGATACCATTTTGTGCATGTTACTCAAAAGATTCAGTTCTGGTAATTGATTAATAATTTAAATAGTTACTTTTTTTTTTTGCAGGAATGCCTAAAATTCTGTCGTTTCAGTTTCTAAAATGTGAATATTCACAGGTTTTCTTGTCCCTTATGAGAGTTAACTACATCTTTTTGGCTTTTGGATTGTTGGTTGAACAAATGAAGACATTTAAAGGTTCATATAGTCTAAAGGTAGATGTCCATGTGGTGTTTGATTATAGATCAGGTCCAGGTTCTATATTAATAATGTGAAAGTATCAAAGCCTCAGTCCACAGAGAAATGCACACAGCCTGTATTCAGAAACTGAGCCTTAAAACCAGCCATCAGGACTTCCTGAACTTTGTGATGTCACAACGAAGCAGTCACCGCTCTCAGCCGTGCCCCACGCCCCGCCCACCCGGACCCACCATCCAACCTTGCAGGATTTAGTTTTTCTGAGTGTTTTTACCTGAAATCTGCTATATTTTTATTGGATCATTCAGAAAACAGTCAGCCAATCAGAAGAGAGGCTCAGAGCCTCCTCTCTTCTGATTAGCTCACTGACCTGTTGTTACTAGAGCTCCAGAGAGAAGCCTGAGAGAGGAGATGTAAAACTGCATTGGTTTGATGGTTTTTGATTCTTAAAGCCACAAATATATCTTCTGATGGATCAACACTTCAAATAAAACACAGGAAGTGGGAAATATGGGAACGTCAACACAAGCTGGAGTTTAAAGGTCTAAAACATCACAAAAAAAAAAAAAAAAACACTGGCATGGTATTTGAAAATAGTCTTAAAGTTCAGGAAAATATTTCTCCCATAGTGTCACTTGTTCCAGCATTTTATTAAAGCTGCATCATGTTGAAATATTCCGACTTAACGTGCCACTTTTAAAGCTGCTCCATGTGTGCATCATTTAACCACATCTCAGAGTAACTCAGCCGAACAGCATGCTAACTGACGGACACAGAGACAAACATGTTCGGCATGTTTGTGTGTGTTTGTGTTTGTGTGTGAGTGTGTGTGTGTGTGCATGCATGAGAACTGAACTGCTTTGTTGGCTGTGAACTCTTGACTTGTAAACACATCCGTTTGAACCGGGGTTAAAGATGTCTGCAGTCGGGGGAAAAAAGGAAAAAAAAAAAAAAACACGATGCCTGGGGGGGTGCACGTGGTAAAAAGCTCTCACACGCACATAAACACACACTTGTATGCGCACACGCACACACACACACACACACAACCACAGCTTTTTTACGACACGATGTGAAGTCAGGATGCTAATCAGGGAAGGAAACGTTTTGTTCTCGAGGCCGCAGTGGCTGGTAAAGCCCAAGATTCACCAGCTGCTTTGACTGTTTATTACCATTATAAACTTTATTTATAGAGCAGCTCGAAATACAGTTTTAAAGCAGAGAGAAGAAGATAAAGAACAGACAGGCAAGATCATACCAGGGATAAAAGTGGATATAAAAAGAGGAAAGCCATGGGAAGATTTAGATGGTACTGATTGGTCGATGCCAATGTTTGTATCTCAGTTTATTTCAAGGAGCTGAAATGTGAAACTAATTTGGAAGCATGTGCGGCGCTCATTTCTGTTTCTGTCGTGGCAAAAAGCTAAACTTCACAAATCCTGACTGCAGGGTTGTTTTCAACTCATCAAAGGCCGGTGAAGCCATTTTTCAGCGCCGCTGACAAAGGAGGGTTTTGTGTCTGGTTTGTTTGTCGACGGCTGAGTAACAGAGAGAAGCCGAGAGGTGTGGCTCGCTCAGCACCTCGGCCCTGTGGCACAACGGCGTCTCTGTGTTTCCAGCTTTAAGTCAGCGGCGTTCATCCACTGGAGCATTGTTCGCACCGTGTGTGTGTTTGCACTTGCATCATCGGTCTTGAACGCAGCTCGCCAGTACAAACATTGGTAGGGATGGAGCAGAGGGCTGAGCTGGAGCAGGGCCAGGCTTTTACATCTGTGCCAACACATACAGGCTGTGCAGCCATTATTCCATTTTTGTTGTGATCTTGTTCACATGTGCACAAACTAGTGATGGGCATGTCCACAATCTAACAGTTTAAGCCTCACATGGAATTTTCTGATGTAAAATTCATTAGTTGCACAAGAAAAAGTCGAATCTACTCGATGTAAATCATGATGGAAGAGTCTTTTAAGGTGAACAACGTTGGATTTTTGCTTTTTTAAAGCAGTTGTGTGGCATGTGCGACAGCTGCAGTTCCACTCAATGCTTTGAGAGTTTTATCGTTTATGTTTCCAGACTTTTAAATCTGCAGCAGCTCTAAATAGAAGAATTGTATTATGTTATAGCTTTCATGCTTTCAGTTAATTAAAGTTACACTGATACAGAATAGAGAAAAGGTAAAGATATTAAAGACATGTTTGTGTCTGTTTTCAGTCGGACGTGGTCCATCAGAGTGTGTTTGAGCTGATCCACACGGACGACCGAGCTCTGTTCAGACGTCAGCTTCACTTCGCCCTCAAACCAAACGCCAGCCACTCAGACAGCTCCGCTCAGAGTCCCGGTAAGTCCAGATAAATGACCTTCTAAGAGAAAAGACTGCGTTAGTATCAACATGAAGTTTTAAGTTGGGGAATATTTGATCATGACTACTAGGTGATGAGAGCTCTGCGGATATCAGCAGCAGTGTGATGACCTACGACCCTCAGACCATCCCTCCGGAAAATTCATCTTTCCTGGAGAGAAACTTCTGCTGTCGATTCCGCTGCCTGCTCGACAACTCCTCTGGATTCCTGGTATAAACTATACTATACTATATAAACTGTACTCAGCTAACAGTTCGGGCTGGCTTATGATTGATGATTTTGCAAACGCTGTTTCCCTGTACACACGGAAACACAAAGCTGCTGTTTTAGGATTTACACACTCAGGAGGTCAGTTTGGAAAAGCTCAGTCTTCACAGGTTGAATCTGGACAGAGGTCTGAAACAGAGAGAGAAGGATGAGTTTATGAATTTAACAGTGTGGTGGGATTTGAAGCGGAAACTTTCAGTAAAGAATCTGCAGTTGTTCCCAAAATTGATGTTTGTAAAGTTTCTTTGGACTCTGATTCTGAAAAAGTGACATTCAGGCTGCATTTTCCCAGATTCTCTCTATCCAGGGTTATAAATCACATCAAATAAACTTCAAACCTAAAAAGCTATTAAAAGCAGATTCTGAAATCAACCGCTCAGCCTGATCAGCAGCCGTTTAGTATCACTTTCATATTGATACGTCAAAAAGGAGCCTAATCTTAGTGTTTTTAAAGCTGCAGCCTGTTTGTTATTTTGCTTGTTTACTGCAGCACCAAAACGGTAATCAGGTATTTTTTGTAGATAAACTGAATTCAGTACTAGAAAACGTGAAGCCTCCATCATGTTCATAAAAACAGACTATAAACTAAACCAGCTGCTGTAGCCATGACAACAAAAGCTCGTCCTCATTCTTGCCTCTGTTTGTGTGGGAACCTGTGTGTCCGTCTTCAGGCCCTGAACTTCCGCGGCCGCCTGAAGTTCCTCCACGGTCAGAGCCGGGTGTCGGACGACGGGACGTTGGTCCCCCCTCAGCTCGCTCTGTTCTCCATCGCCATGCCGCTGCAGCCGCCGTCCATCCTGGAGATCCGCACCAAGACGCTCCTCTTCCAGACCAAACACAAGCTGGACTTCACGCCCATGGGCATCGACACCAGGTAGACACACACACACACACACTTATGCATCGATTGCTCATTTTACTCACCGTGGTTGAAGAATCTGAGCTGAAAGAATCAGTCGCTGGTGGAAATGTTGTGTCTGTTGTGTTTCTCTCCACAGAGGGAAGGTGGTTCTGGGTTACACTGAAGCAGAGCTGTGCATGAAGGGCTCAGGCTACCACTTCATCCACGCTGCAGACATGATGTACTGCGCTGAAAACCACTTAAGAAGTCAGTAACTAAGCCAGAATAACCAAACACTCTCTTTAAAGATGTCACCTACTCCTCACCACTGTCACCTCATTTTCTTTGGAATATCTTCAGCTGTGCTTTAAATTACAGGCTGATGGAGAAGTGGGTGTATAGATAGAAATATCTGACTGTTTCTGTGTTGTATCCAGTCATGAAAACCGGAGACAGCGGTTTCACCGTCTTCAGGCTGCTGACCAAAACTAGGACGTGGATCTGGGTCCAGGCCATCGCCCGGCTGGTGTTTAAAGGAGGGAAACCAGACTTCATCGTGGCCCGGCAGAGAGCTCTGACGTAAGTGTCCCAGAGCGAAGAAGCAGAGAGCAGGGAGGGTGGTTTTTAGTGTTTCTGTGTGTTAGTTTACACTGGGATAAACATTAGATTTATGTTGAATGAATGCTTCAACTAAGATATAAACTTTTTTCATATAAAATTAGTCAAGTGTTTAGTCATCTTCATTATCGTTTAGAAACCAACAAATATTTGCTTACAGCTTCTCAAATGAGAGAATCATTAACTGTTGGTCAAAGGCAATTTGATAATGATCTACAAATTCAGTGTTGAGAAGCTCACAAAGTGTTACCAAATTATTTTAAGGCTGAAACTAAAATAATTATTTTCATCATTAGTGAATTTCTCCATTATTTTTTTGAATAAATTGATCCTTTGTTTAGTTTATTGAAGGTCACGAGCTGAGGTGACGTCTTCAGATGTCTCGTTTTGTCCAAGCAGCAGCCTAAAATATTCAATTTAAAATGATTTAAACCAGAAGAAAAGAAGCTGGAATCAGTAAATACTTATCACAGTTGATGCTAGTTGAAGCTAATTGGTTAATTGGCTAATTCTTTAGTTGATGAATTAGCTGCAGCTCTGAAAGAAAACCCCCCTCTTGTGTTTTTCCCGCAGAAATGAAGAAGGAGAAGAGCAGCTCCGCCTCAGACACCTGCAGCTGCCGTTCAACTTCGCCACCGGTGAGGCGCTGCTGTACGACATCCCCCAGCCCATCGACATCCCCGACCCGTGCTCCGCCCCGAAGCAGAGGAAGGTGAAGGACTACTCCATCGACCCCGACTCCATCCTGGGCTGCATGCTGAGACAGGACCAGTCCATCTACTGTGAACACAACAACGACAACACGCTCAGCTCCCTCAACGACATCGCCTTCAAGGACACCCACGCTACCGTCAGCGTTCCCGGAGACATCTGGCAGCAAGTGTCACCCAAACCCGTTGTGGGAAGTCTGGTGAAGACGGAGGCCGCGGTCCAGGACATGATGGACACCCTGCAGCAGATCCTCGGGGACAGCAACCTCATCGACACCCTGGAGGTGGGGCCCGAGGAGCTGAAGAGCTGGGAGAGCACGCTGTTGAGGATGAGCACTAACAGCTACGGGATGAACGAAGACCTGGACGTCCTCAGCAATGACATCCTGTCGTATGTGGAAGAGCAGCTCCAGAAGGAGGACGGACTCAAGCTGCCAGGTGAGCTGGACGACGTACCAGCGTGCCTCTCCACTTTGGACCTCCAGAACCAGGATCCTGACCACATTGGGGAGCAGAACTTTGTCTGGCCCCTGGAGCCTCAGAACCAGCTGATAGCAAACGGAGGGCAGATGATGACTGGACAACCGGCTCCCGTCCTGGAAACGATGAAGCTGACCCACATGGATCTGTCTCAGTTGAGTTCTCCTGGTTTAAACGGTCCGACCCTTCAGCAGATCGCCTCCCAGCAGACCCTCCCGCCTTCTGTTCTTCTTGGCGACATCGGTGCTCCGGCGACCTTCAGCCCCTCCCTGGCGGACTCTTGTGCTCAAACACAGAACAAACTGAGGGCCTTACAAGTCACAGCCAAGGAGAACAACCTGGGAGCGTTCAGGCAAACCGCTCAGCTTCAGTCCAACCCGATGCAGAACCACGTTCAGATGAGGACGCCCAACCTCCCGCTCGGCCTCCAGGACCAAACCGCAGAGAGGAAGTTAAATCCCGTTTTCAACTTTCAGGGCAACCAGTGGAGCTCCCCCGTCCCCAACGCAAACCCAGTCGACAGCTTTGTACAAACATACACCCAAAATATTTCAAACGAATCGGGGTTCGCTGCAGATCCTCCCTCGTCCAGCTGCTTACAGGGCCACTTTGCACTTCAGACTCAGAACAGTGAGAATCAGAGACAGTCGTGGCCACTGGAGCAGCAACAGCAGCAGCAGCAGCAGCTGATCTCAGGTGGGCACCAACAACTCGGCGCCTGCCTCAACCAAATGTCAGGATTTCAAGGGAATCCTCTTCCTGGAGTCGTCACGCCCCAAACCGCGGTCAACGGGAGGCCGATGTTCAGGACTCAAGAGACTTCAAATGTACCATTTCCTGTTCAGCAGGACTCGGAGCTGCCAGCTCAGGCACCTTCGAGCAGCTGTATGTTCAGAAATGCCCCCCCGTCTGTGCCTGTAAACGGAGTGCACCTCAGTCAGGCGCCCTCCTGCCAGCGCATGAACCCAGCAAGCAGCAACCGGATCCCCTCCAAGCCCTCCTGTTTCTACCAGGGTCTTCCCGGAGGAGGGTCTGTGCCGGGGATGACGGCGATACCAAATCCTAGCGAGGTGGCTCTGTCCTGCCAAATGACGGCTGGTCTCAACCCCAACGGGCTGCTGGTGCAACAACAGCAGTATCTTAACTTCAGTGAACAGACGCAGGTAAAAAAAACAAAACAAAATGGTTTTACAGCAATAAAAAGTAGATTAAACTTGTCTGTTTGTTTGTAGGTGCAGGGTTTGAGTTCTCCAAAGTTTCCTTTACTTTACTTTAACATGTGATCAGGATGGTTCTGATCTTTAAACCAGTTCAGTTTCTCGTTGTTTTGGAATTTGTCAAACAATGAGAACACATTTTACTGGTTTCCTCTCAAAGTCCGATCTTCTAACCTGTCATTGGTCTGTTTCACAGATCAACAACCATCCAGTCGTCGGGAACGGAGGTTTCCCGTTCCCCTCGCTGCCCGATGGGAACGTATACTACTCAGAGAACAAATAGAAATCAGCCGCTGTGACTTCTGGACGGCAGAGGATCCGGATCCAACCTGGACTGAAACAGCAGTTTACAGAAAACAGAAGACTCCTGTCTCTAAACATGAAAGTGGAGTAGACTGAAGAACAGAAATGTGCCCCGGAAAGGAGGAGGAGACAAAACAGGACACCTCTCCTTCTCCTTTTTTTCTAATTAGGAAACTGCGATGAAAGCTTTAAAAAATTTCAAGTGTTTTGGTGTAGGAGGAAGAGAAAATCTCATGTCTCATCTTGTGATTTGGAGTTTGTTTTGTTTTTGTCAAAGCTGGATATCAAAGAAGAAGTACGGATACGTTTTCTTGGAAAACGGAAAAACCTACACCCGTGGTTTGTTTTGTGCAATCATGATCAAGTTTGAGAAATTTCATCACGAGCTGTTGGCGGTTTGTTGTTGATGTATGGAAAAAGTTCAGAGAAGCAGATGTGTGCTGAATTTAATTTGCCAAAACAACCAGTTAGTCCTTCATCGCTGAAGTCTTTTCTCTTGTGTTTAAAAAGCAGATTCACTAGAGCTGAAAGGATTGGACGGAAAAATAATCAGCAGCTGTTCTGCTTCTCGTTTCACAAATGTGAGGAGCAAATCACCTTGAGCTTTAAGAAAGTGTGATGGGCATTTTACACAATTTTTCTGTTTGTTTTAATTCTAATTGTTAGCTGCAGCTTTAAATCTCATCGTCATGGCTTCATCCTGACTCGCTGCACCCACTGCACAGGGCGCCGACTATTATCACAAGCTGTTGAGCCGGGAAAAAAAAAAAGGAACGACAACAGCAGCAACAGATCAGTTGCATCTACAAAGAATCCAGTCCTGTACAATTGAAGGTTCCCTGAGGAGTTTGTGACTCCGGAAACATTGTGGAGTTGGTCCCTATTTGACCTGCAGGTGGCTCTAATGTGCCAAATATGCTGCAAAGAGCCAGCAAAGACGAGGAAGAAGAAAACTGCAAAGGAGCAAACATGGATGTAAAACACGGAGGCTGAATTTAAAATACTCATAAACGTTGTTTTATGAGGAAGGAAATGTCCAGGGTGCACACAGCCAGTTTTGGTGAGTAACATTGAATATAAACAGAACTTTACTGGGTGCCTTTAGATCAGCTGATTGAAAATGAAAAGACTTCAGCGGTGAGGAACAGCTGGTTGGTTTGTATCTCGGGTTCGTTTTTTCCCCATGTGCAGTCAGTTCTTCAGGCCTTACTGTCTCAGACACAGCGGATCAGACAATCCCGAACCTTGGTCCCTGACTGATCGACCTAAATGAAAGAACACAGAGACATCCTCCCGTTCGTCCTCTGCCGTCTCTGTTGCACAAACACACCACACCTACTCCATAAAAATCAGTTTTCTACTTTGAGCTCTCAGAAGGATGAAATGTATCGTCTTTTTTGTTTTGCTGTTTTTGTCCTTTTGGAAATTGCGTCTTGATTCAGTTCATTTCAACTCTTTACTGTCCCACTGAGGGAGATGTGCTTTGTAGACAGGGTATATATATTAAAAAAAAAAAAAAAGAGAGAAAAAGAAACGCACAATGAAATCACAGCATCATCCTACTAACAGACAATGTGTAAGATTTAAACATGAGGTGATTCAGTGGAAACAGCTGCTTCTTAGTGCATCTTTTATATATTTTAAAAGCAGTCCCAGCTTCGTCACTGAGCCAGTTTTGTTTCGTCTTTATTTTTCTTTTCTTTAATGTTTCTGTGTCATTGTTGCTTTCCTGTTATAGAGGGAAAAAAAAATACAGACGGTGCCTTAAACTGACAGACCTGTTTGAGACTTTAAAGGGACAGTCTGTTGCAGTTTTCTAACATTTCCTTTAGGAATATTAGCAGAAAGGTGTAGTGGAAATTCATATTTAATGGATGTAAACCAAAGTTAAACTTGCCCTTGCCTTAACACCACCAAGCCAGTTTTTAAAGATTTATTGCACTATTCCTTTAAGGTGTTGCCAAAGTGTAGTGAAGAGAAAATAATTGAGAAATCCTTTGTCTTACAGGACACTAAGAGCTTTATTACAAAAAGAGATTCCTGAAGTAGGTTGTTCATGATGAAATGAGCACAATGTTTTTCATTTTAGCTCATAAATGGATTCTCTAGATTTTTTAAAGTTATTTGAATAAGCCACAACTAAAACGAATTATTATATATTTTTAGTAAGAGTTTAAAAAAAATAGACCAGAGTCTAAATAGACTTAGTCACTGCCTAAACCAGGATCTAAACTTCTCACTAAACCTGAAAATGTTCATCAGTCTCTCTGTAAGATAGATTCTGATTTATTCATATTTTCCACAACAAATTTCCGTCCTCTTTATCTGTCCTCTTTCTGTCTTGTGGTTAATTTATCGGCGTTGTTGTTGGACCGGGAGTGTCGCCGATCGTCCGGCAGTGAAACGCAGAAGTAAAACAGTTATAGGCAGCTATTGTATATTTTAAATGAGGAAAAAAAAAGGAAAAAAAATCTACACTTTACAAGTTAAAAACAAAAAAGAAAAAAAAAAAGGGTGGAAACTTAAAGTGCCTTTAAATGAGCGCTTTTTGATTGTCTGTTGATCTTAAAAATTGGTTCAGCACTTACATTGAAAAGAAAAACCGAAAGAAAGTCGCACCCAGTCGCTTCATCCAGTACTGAGCCGTAAAATCTGCTTTTTTTCCTAAGCAAGTTCTGTGTCACTTAATTTTTAGCACTTCTGAACCTTTTTTTTTTTTAACAACTTTATACTTTGCAGCAGATTGTAGAAGCTGCAAAGACAAAAGTAGTGACAACAAACTTGAATACTTGACTTACGTACCAAAAAATAGTCAGTAAAGCCATCTGCGATGCTTTATTCTCCAGGATACCAAAGGGATGAGTCAGAATACAGATCTACTGTTGGAAAATCCTATTTTTTGTGAAGAATTTCATGATTTTTCATGGTTTATGGAGATTTTCCACTCGAAATGGAAACACAAAGAATGATTTCTTCACATAAAAACGCAAGAAACAGACCAGAATGATTGTTATTGTACTTTGACTTAGAAAAACTAGAGTTATGCTGTGTTAATGTCGATTAAGAGCCACTGTCATTAACAGTTCCCCACTTGTCAACATTGTTCACATCAACATCCAAAGTCGTACTTAAAACGATGAAACTTTTATTTCCTCAAAGCTTGTCGGTCACTATTCATAAAAAAGTCTATTATTTAAGATAATGAAATAAATGTAATTGTTTTGGGGTTATATTATCATTGCACAGTATTTTTTAACCCTCAAACGTCCAACTCTACAGTTATTTAACCCTTTCATTACAGCTGAAAAATACTCAATTGTTTCAGTCAATTTTCGTTTTTAACAGAATATCTTTTGGTTTTAGACGTTTTAAGACTTTGGACTATAGAAAGTTGCATTTTTCCACATTTTATACTGCAGATTTGACAGTGTTACTCAGCAGTCAATTCACCAAAAACCAAAAATTAGACCAGAAATCATCACAGAACAGGCTGAATATTTAAGACTCAGTACAAAATGAAGCGTGATATTTCGAAGGTGTGTGATTTTTCCCAGCGCACCTTAACGTCTCCTCTCTTATAAATCTGGAGTACTTTCAGTCAGAGCTTTTTTTGTCACAAAGTATTCTGCATTTACAAATATAAATATATCTCGTTGCTTGCTTCTGATTTTAAATAAAACAAAGCCATTTTACTTACAATACTTTTTTCAAACACAAGGCCCTAAAATGCAGTATCTTGTGTACGTGTATATAAATATCTATATTTGTCTTCTTTATGTTTCAAAATATGTATTGTCATATATTGTGTATTTTAATATCATATTGGCTTAACCTGTCTCTCTCCTATCATTTTTTTGTACATTGTCTGCACAGCATATACATATGTAATCTCTTGTTATGATGTTTTTTTTGTAAACAACTTATATCTTGTGGATTTGCCTTCAATATTTTTGCTTCTAACAGTGTATTGAGTGTTTGAGACAATATGTTCATGCTCACCATATTAAAGGTGATCAGAGCCCAGCTGCTGCTGTAGTTTTTTATTCTAATATTGTAACAAAAAAATTTGAGCTTTTTTTTGTTGTTTGTTGTTTTCATAGTTAGTGCTGTAATCTGTTTGTGTGTATTTTCTTACTCTCTTAATGTAGATCAATTAAAATATAGAGGTAAAACTAATTATTTAAGATTATAAGATTTACTCAAATAGAGATAATGAGAAAACTAAACATTTTATGTGTTATCTTTGAGTCATAAATGAAGAAAATGTAATTTAAAAGATTTTCTTTTTAATTGGAAATTTCATAAACCATGAAAATTGACTTGGATTTTTACACATTCGATAATATAGTCTTCATGTAGTTTTGATCAATGTAATGGTTTCTATTGTCCACTAGATGGTGATGTAAGTCTGTTTTGGTAATGGCAGCTCCTCCATGTGTGCACTGTAATGCATTTGCTCCTGTTTGACAATCTGCTGCCAGTTAAGCCTTTAATGGTTTTCACTGCCGGACCAAACTGGACCAGAAAGGCTGTCTTGTATTGTCTTACTGTGATGCGTTGCATTACAAAGTAACTACAAGTACCTTCAAATTATATTTGAGTAATTGAGTAAATTTACTTGTTTTCCACATTCATATTTAAATGTCGACCGTTATTTTGAATTTCGAATTTGACTGTTATTTTAGTCGAAACTTTGAATTCCGACCGTCATTTTAAATTTAACTGTTGACCGTTATTTATTTATTTATTTATTTTACTACGTCACCTTTGACCTGCGCGCTCCCGACGACAATCACTGCTATTGCCCTGGTGTGGGAGGCGCGCTCTGGTTGGGGAGAGATTGAAGAGAGCCGCAACGGAGAGGTCCCGTTGGAAGAGAGAAAGACGGGAGGAAGAACACTGAACTTTAACGGTTTAATTCCACTGTTTTCGGTGAAGAAGTCGTCCTCGGGATGCGAAGTTTAAACGGTGCTTTTTTTATTGCGGAATGTCGTTTGACGCACCGGCGAAGCGCCATGGACGGGAAAACCGGAGCGAGAAGCTGCGATAGTACTCCTGTGATAACACTTCGACAGGGAGCTTTTAGTATGTCTGTTTTATAGTGAGTTCATACAGTAAATTATCTGTCTTTAGCTGTGGCATCTGTTTTATCTCATTTCATACCCCCAGAGCTTTTAATTACCACAGGTTTGAACGGTTTTCTAAATGTTGGCTAACGGTAACGGAACGGTTCGGGGTATTTTACGTGTAGCTTAAAGCGGCGTCCTGTCTGTCAGTTAATGAAAACAGATGAATCACATGCCTCTGATCCCTGGAACTGGGAGTGCTGCTGGGTGCTGTTGGCTGTCTATGTGGGACCGTTTCTACTGGATTCTACTGTTTGGAGCTTGTATAAGTTAGAGTTTATGGATGTCCTCCAGTTTCACCGTGAATAATTAATTTAAAAAACAACAACATGTATGCTGGACGGAAAAGAAGAAAACCGGCACAGAAGGGGTAAGTCATTATTAAGGTTATTTAAAGGGGAGGGAAGTGTTTTTTATCAGCTACTGATACTAATTCAGGTTATTTAAGACATTTCACTTAAGGTCCCTCTATTTAGCATTATGATCAGCAAGTAAACATGAAATAAATGGTTTATAACACACGATAATGTAAGCTAATTGTGATATATTTGTTAACAACTACAACTCCTGTGCTTATACATGGACAGATAATGAATGCTATATTAAAACACAGGTGTAATGATATAAGATGTCTCAATAAAAGTTAAAATTGTCAAATACAAACTTAATAAACATTTAAATGTTTTTATCAGCGTATAACTATATTACAGGGTGTTAAAAACATTTATTAGAAGTATACATACATTTAATCAATTATTACAGCCTGATCAATAGCTATGATTTACTGAAGATAAAAGTGATTTAACATCTTAAAGGTTTGATATCTTACATGTATATGGGTTGTCTTTATTCTAAGACGACATTTAAAATATAAGAAAGATAGAGCTTGATTGATACACCTATACACAAGTAACGTGAAAGCTATCAATATGTAAATAAGCCTATATTAGTGGGAAAATATAACTCCCAAAGTTTAGCTGTTGCATTTGTGTAATATGGTGAAATTCACTATGATAATTTCTACCAAATTAATATTTAATATTGTACAAAGAAAATAAAGCTTCCTGTCAGGTTTTCCATTCTGGGCTGTAACAATGAATTAAATATTTGCTTCCATATTATGCTGCACCACACACATGCAGAATGATATGTTACATATCCAAACTGGTGTAGATAATAGACTCACATTGGCTAGTTCAATATATTGGCAGTATTATCTTATCACAGACATATTGCTATCAGCATATATATCAGCTGGTAAATAAGAAGAAATGTCAGCAGAGAAAATTCAAACTTAAGTTTAAGGTAATAAAAAGTGTCTCCATTAGAGAACACTGACCAGTGTATTTTTCAAATGTAAAACGTTCAGTAAATACCTTCTTAAGAGCCAAATTTAAGTTGCATATGTTATTTATGTTAAAATAAATCAGCCAATATTTTTAAATCAGATTTTGTTTTGAATTCTCAATTATGTATCAAGTATCATATGGAATTAGTAACGTATGTGCAAAGAAAATCAAATCAGGTTTTCAATTCTGTATTTTATATTTGTTACTTGACCCTTTAAAATCTAGTTCGCCCTCTTATTTCTCCTTGACTAGCTTTAAGATAAATCTTATTCCATTCATATATATATTCTGTTTCAGCTGCTTGCAACTCTTTAAAACATGATATTTAGACTTTAAAGCTGTGTTGAGCATAACTTTATTCCCAAAATTCCCAAAATTTAGGCTGAGGATTTGGTTTCAGCAAACATATATCGTTGTAACTCTACATGCAACTAATTTTCTGACACCCCTGAGGTGATAAACATTCACATGATGAAGAGTGATTTAAAAATGACAGTGTTTCCTTCATATCCAGAGTCAAACAGACCCCTGCTGAAGGCGCCAAGTCCAACCCGTCCAAACGCCACCGTGACCGTCTGAATTCAGAGCTGGACCGGCTTGCCAGCCTCCTGCCCTTCTCCGAAGATGTCATCTCCAGCCTGGATAAACTGTCCATCCTGAGGCTCAGCGTCAGCTTCCTCCGTACCAAGAGCTTCTTCTCAGGTAGGACACCCTGCTCTGTGACAGGCCAGGTTGTGGAGGTGGGAGTGATCTGATTTACAAACCTCAGTTTCCTCTAACTTCCCTTACACACTGATGAAGCCTTACACAGTGAAGAGGGGTGGTAATCTCCTTAAAGGGAACTACAACCACATGCTGATTGGAAGCAGCATATTATGGGTTGTAAACTACTGTAGCAGCATCAGCAGTTGTTTACAAGTGGTGACTGACAAATCTTGAAAATTAGACTGACAGAGAAAGATAGAGAAGCTGGTAAATGTCATTCTGGGGTCTTGAAACAGCTGCTCGCCCTTTTATTTCCCGCCTGCTGAAATACTGAAATAGCTTTTCACACCTCATACAGGACCTGCGGACAAAGAGGCAGAAAACATGCAGAAACAGACAGGGCAGGAAGGTTTCAAGTAGAAAGAAAGAAGGTCGGGGGGGGTTTCTGGAGGCCAGGTCGGACAGGAAGGTTCAGGAGTTTTTGTATTTATTGCTTGGATTATATTTACCATTTGCTGTCAATAACTCAGCCAAAATGTGCCTGTTGAATGAGGGAGACATATTTAGATTTAGAAATGGGTGCTGGGTGGTGGGGTTGTTAGGTGAGGGTGATTTTGAGGTCGTGACCTCTGCGTCTGGGCTGTCTATGAGCCAGACTCTGTTTAAGAAGTGGTGCAGTGCAGAGGATTGGCTTTGTTGAGGAGTTAGCGGGCTTACAGGCATAGCACATGGATTTTGGGGATGTAGGAGTGTGTGTGTGTGTGTGTGTGTGTGCTTGGCAGACTTGAATGTGTTCACAGATTTACTATTAAAATCAGATTGTAAGTCTGCCCAAAAGCAACAAACAGCCTTTAGAAATCTGCTCAGCCAGAAAAATCCTTAAACCTCTCTGAACATCTGGAATATCTGAATCCCTGTTTAATGTAGGAGGCTCAATGCAGCATTTACAGGGGAAACAGGGAACATTTGATTCCATTAACAGCTCAAACTACCTCCAGCACAAGTTTCAGCAGTTTTCTTGACTGTAGTCAAACCACTCACTGTGTTTACAGTTGGAAGCGTGAAAAGTGTGAAAACCCATAAATCTGACAATCTGCATCTCAAAGTTGAAAAATGGATTGTGATATCAACAAAATCAGATCATATGTCTGATGTTATATTGAGCTTAAAGATTCCCTTTTAGAAGACTGGTGACTGAAAGGCTGGCTGCATAAAGAAATACTTGTCTAAGACCTAAATGTGCAGAACGATCATTTTCTCATAAAGGATCTGCTTGGAAAAAAAAAAGATTAATCGGTTGATTTCATTTTATTATTTGATTAAAGATATTGTGAACTACAATGACACTGAGCAGAATTTTAGCAGTGAATTAGATTTTTTTCCTCTGAGGTCTGGTGTACGTTGTTTGACATTGGCCTTGGTTTGTGCTCTCTTGAGTGCCCTTCTGGTCTTTTTTTATCTTTTTAAAGAAATATCCCAGCATATTGGTTTCACTGAACTATTTTAGGCTACAGTAATTAACAGGTCAACAGACATCCAACCACTGTCCTCCTTTAAACAGCTGAACAGCCTTTTAAAGACTAAAACTGTTCCACACAGACCTTAACTGGCCACCGTGATTAAAAACACATCAGACATCTGTGTCACAAACCGACCCTGCAGAAACGGGCCAGCACCACATATCTAAGTGCATGAACCCTGGATGACCCCTTCTTATCATAATGTCTTAATACAACGGTAACGTATTGTAGGTCAGCTCCTCTTGCCCGTGGCCATGAGGCGACACTTGTCCCAAAGTCTCAGCCACACAGTAATGTAGGTCTGAGGAGACGGCAGCGCTGCATCGAGCAGAGAGGAGGTGGGAGGAGGAGATGAAAGCCTCTGAGAATAAAAACACGGCGGGATAATCCACTCACGGACGCTTTACAGACCTTTTGAAGAAGGAAAGGGGGAGACAAGCGCCCACTTTTCAACTTTTGACTCCTGCAACTGCAGAGAAACCCCCGTTTGTATTTTATTTTTTTACAGTGATAACTGGCACAGAGTCCTTGAAGTGTTAACCCAGAATCCCTCTGAACAGGGAGCTGAGTGTGTCATAATTCAGTCAGTCCCCAGGTTGAACTCACCCTCTGTAAGCACATGAAAGAATTAGGTTAGGTTCAGGTGGGGTGACACATAGACTCCTTGTGTTTGTGTGTCTTGATGTCAGCCTAACATATGCAGACTGTGAGCTGCTGTACCGAACACCACCTACCTGGTTACATGGCAGAGACAGACTAAACCAAGTAGAATCCAAGACTTTTGTCAAACTTCACATTATTTGTTGTTTCTGTTTGTGTCAGCTTTTCTTCCACCTCATGAAGCAGCAAATGCAGGAGAAAAAAATTTTTTTGTGGAGGTCAAGACTTTGTTTTGTGTCTGTGCTGCATTCAGGATGCCTGGTAAAACTGAGGAACTGTACGGTTCAACCACGGTCAAGAAATAACTGTCAGTCCTCTGCTGCATTTTTAGCAAACATCTGTATTTTCACATTTATCCGATTGGTGAGAATCCAGTCTGTAAGTGTAGTATCACAGTGTTCAGACTGGTGCCATTACACTGTGTGTGTGTGTGTGTGTGTGTGTGTGTGTGTGTGTGCACGCGTGTATATGTGTGTGTTAGTCCACATCTGTCTCCATGTTAAGCCATCTGCCAAGTGCTCAGAGCAGATTAGTGCTTACTTATGTAATAAAGCAGCAGTGTATTTTCTATTGTTCTCCATTACTGTCACATGCTGGTTCCTCGTTGTTTGTGTCCATGATGTAAAGGTAACATTCTGTTGACCTGTTCCTTCTACCCGATAAATTCAAGTATTCAAACTATATTTTGTACCAGATAGACTGATAGAGAGATATTCTGTCTGAGGTTAATTAAAACAGTAAGATAAAGTCTTCTTGGTCCGTCATGAATATTTAACAGACATCTCTTTAAGCCCAACACCCACAAACACGCTGTAGTTTGCAGATAGTCTCTCTTTGTTGATGGTGTTGTTTGGGAGGTGCTCTCCTGTCAGCGCTGCTCTCAGCTGAGCCATTGAAAAATTAATTTCGGTCACAAACCTTTTGAACGCGGGACGGTGGGGGATGACATGTTGGATTAGATAGGTCATTGTTTGTGTCATTGTCCCTGCAGACTGACTCGACTGTGGAAGACACTCACTGCTGACAGTGGTTTGTTTTAATCTGTAACTACTACTGCTGAGATGATGGTTGGAAAATTATTTTTTGTTTGTTAGTGAATCATTTTGAAGATATTATACTGGGGCACAACTGTCAAACTCATTCTGAATGACAATAAAAAAAAAGGAAGATAAATAATCATTTAGTTTGGTTGATGATTTAAAGCTCAGTCCTGAATGTTCATGATGTGTTTATAGTGTCTTGGGCCGGGCAATAATTCAGTATCATTGATTGAAATCTCTGTAATCTCTATCTACATTAACGATTCCAAGCAAACTGTAGTTAAAAACAACAAACTGATTTGTCACAGTTTTTCTTTTATACTGTATGTATGTCTGAATGAATGCCTAATAATAGTGGATCACAGCTAGTTGGAAAAAAACTCATGATTTGTTTTGCTTGTTAATTTTGCCTAATTATGATATATATCAATATTGTTAGCATTTTTATTAAAATGATCATGTTGTTTCCAGCAGGATTACCTTCCTCAGACAGTACTTGCAGTTGTTTTTCTTTATCTATCCCTCATCCAAATGAGGACTCCTCTGTGCCTCTATAAAGTGACTTGGAGGCCTGAGGAGTGTCTGTTGTGATGTTTTTATCGGCTGTTGGTGTCCTCATCGCCCTCCGTTGTGCCAACAGATGTCCCCTCCCCTTTTCCTCTCGATCGCCTCGGGGTGTTTTTTCTTGCCGGCGGCTCCAGGTGATGACGTCAGGGCACAAAATACCCCCTCCACCCCTCCTAGCTCTTAATTATTGATAGTCGACATGCTTTTTCTGCTTCTCTCTTGGCCCTGTGAGCTTCCACTACACTGAGCTCTGTCACCAACAGACAGAGGTTTGGATGCAGCTCAGTGAAGAATTATTTTTATATGGCCTTTCCACAGGTAGCACTGATGATACCAACCATACACTTACCTCTGAGGCTGGTGGACAGTGTTCACCATAATAAAGAGATATGACGGAGCTGTATTGATTCCTGTGGGGAATATGGGTTGAGATCTGATGAAGCAGTTTCAATGGTCGAACCTTCAGCCTCTGTATTTTCTGAGATTTCCTCTTCCATTAACGTCAGTACTGCTGAAGAGCTCTTTGTTTCTTTCAGACAAAATTGATTTTGTCCTCAGGGTCAGCGGCACACTGCTGTCCTCTGTGTTTCTGTCTCAGGGGTCACAGTGAAACCCCTTTGAGACGTTTTGTCTGCCTGACTCTACAGGAAATGTTTCAGTCACAATAATTGTCAATACAGCTTAAACACACTGAAAAAGCTTATGTTTGTTTCTGTTTATTTGAAAGCCAATGAGGTGAAACATAGAACATCTGTCTGTGTCTCTTTCTGTGTCACAGTTGTTCAGTCACTTGTCCTGATTTAATCTTTTTTGGATTTTGTGATTCTGTCTTTGCCTTTCCTACAGGGAGTACTCTGTCCCTCTTCTCACCTTCTTTTAGAGTGTTACTCCATCCTCCATCTTGTGTCCTCAAATCCCCTCTCTGTCTCTTTCTGTAAAGGTGTTACTCCCTCTGGCCTTGCTTTAAAAACAGCTCTCATGAAAATGCCTCTAAAAGTTGCCACAGGATGCAGTATACACACTGATATATCTGCCCAGTCGATGTTTTTGTCTAACTCTAAAACATGATGACAGATGATATTTCAGATCGATAAATTACCATCACTTATCCTTATCCTCTCTGTTTCTCTCTCCATAGTGGCTCTGAAGAACCAGCTGTCCAATGGCATGAACAAGAGGAGCGACCACAATGATGAGAGTAAGACAACAGGATCTGCAGACGGCCACATACCTGAGGGGGAGCTGCTGCTGCAGGTTGGTGAGAAACAGGCGGTTCAAGCCAAATACAAACGCTACCTGTTCAGGGGTGGAGCTATGAGCTGTGGGTGGAGCCTGTTGCTCACTACTTTACTGTAGTACAGACTCTGACCTTCAGGTCTTGAATGCAGAGTCACAGAGAGAAGTAAACACACATTTCTCTGACCTGAATCAGTTTATTGATAAATGCATTGATCCCAGAGGAGTAAGTGGGTCACCACAGCAGTGAAGAATCAAAGACGTGTCAGTGTGGAGGGCAGCAGCTTCCTGCCTTCAGCTGCTCTCTTCCATTACAGACAGCGGCTTATGAATTATACAGAGCCGGTGAACACATGTATTATTGAAGGGAGGGGGGTTTGGATGAAGGACGCGTGTGCGCGCGCGTGTGTGTGTGTGTGTGTGTGTGGTTCTTAGTGAAAATCAACTAAAAGACTCAAAGCATTTAAAGTATTCTTGCATATGTCACAGTATATCACCAAATCTTAAACCCTTCATATTATCTACCGTGTGTGTGTGTGTGTGTGTGTGTGTGTGTGTGTGTGTGTGTGTGTGTGTGTGTGTGTGTGTGTGTGCTGCGCATAAACACAGGAACAGGAAACAATGAACAGCTGATTTGAGTCAAAATGTTTTGGGGACATCCTTCTTTTATGGTAAATAGAGAGACAGGAACATAAACACAGAGTTTTCCTGTGTTTGCTGCCAGTGTTTTTTGTCTTTGGGTTGTCATCTCCAAGGGAACAAACTGGCAGAGAAAACAAACATTACTCTCTGCCACACACACACACACATGCATGCACACACACACACATTCTCACACACATACACACACACACACACACACACACACACACACACACACACACACACACTCAGTCTCAGGAGAGAGAGCGGTTGACCAAACATGAGAGTGAGAGAGAGGGATGCGTCTCCTGCAGACAGATGAATCTACAGTAAATATTTATACACAGTGCATGTATGCCACTGCACACTGTATAGTGTGTGTGTTCATGTGTGTAAAGTGTGTGTGTGTTGGACAGTTCTGGGCGTGGTCACTTGCTGTAGGTTGCAGTTTTTTGCTCAGTTTTTAAAGCTTCAAGCTTTTAACAAGAATGAATCTGGATAGATAGATAGAGTAAATAGAATAGAATTTTTTCAGATTGTTTTTAATTCATCAATAAAATCAGAGACTGATTGAGATAGGAAAGTCTTATATATTACAGTTTTTTTCGATTGCAACACTAAAATCAAATGTATTACACAATTATCAAAACATGGAGCAAAACCACTATACCACTATAAGCACAATGTCAGCCTCACACACAATATACACAGTGATTTGCAAAACACTAAACACATTTGTATACATTATACACAGAAGTATATCATGATGTCACTTCCTTGCAATTCCAAAGCACTGACTGTTAAATTACCACATCTATGAGCCAGTTGGTAAACACAGCCATCAGGTGCACAAACACATAATTGCTTAATTGTAGACACACCAATCAGGTTTAAGCGCTATAAAAATGCAGCACGAGTTCACCTGTCTTCAACCAAAATGGAAGGAGTCAGAAGAAGAAGAGTGAGGGTGAGAGGGCGAATCCACGGCGGAGGAGAAGGAGGTAGAGTAAGAGGAAGAGGCAGAGGCCATGCCAGAGGTAGAGGCCGAGGTGGAGGTAGAGGAAGAAGAAGACCTGAAGCAGGAGGAGAACGTGCTCAAAGAAGAAGAGGACCAAATTTATCAAATGAAATTCACGCAACACTAGTTGACCATCTTGTCCGTCATGCCAGTATTGGCCCTTACAACACACCTTGCATTCTCACATTTTTGGACCGATTGGACAACATCGTCACAGCAGTAAACCAAATGCACCAGATGCGATATATTGTCATCTGGGACAATGTGTCATTCATCCTCTCTGCTCTGGTCCAGAACTGGTTTCAACACCATCCACAGTTTACATTACTATACCTTCCACCATACTCTCTGTTTCTAAACCCAATGGAAGAGTTTTTCTCTGCATGGTGGTGGAGGGTTGACGATCTCCGGCCCCAGGCTCGGGTACCCCTCATTCAGGCCATGGAGGAGGCCTGTGACCAAATCGACGCCGCAGCTGTGCAAGGATGGATTTGACATTCAAGACGGTTCTTCCCATGTTGTCTTGGCGATGAGGATATCACCTGTGATGTTGATGAAATTCTATTCTATTCTCTATTGTACTGTCAGATTTTTTTTTTTTTTTACTGTAATTGTAACCTGTACTGGATACAATAATTTATGTTTGTCTGATATTTGCAGAGTTGACAGTGTTATGCACACTACTGTAGTAGCATGAAAACTGGGACATGTTTTGTTGTGATTCTCCATGTTGACATGTTGACTGATTTGGGTGTATGGAGAGAAATAAATTATATTTTCATCAGTCTGCAGCATTGGTCTTGTGTAGTGTTTGGTGAATTTATTGTATATTTGCACTTTCTCTGTACTTCACTTACAGTACCCTAATCACTGAGAAGTATAATTGCTAAAAGTGTTTTAGGTTAAGCACAGCAGGGTGTAACTGGTTCAAACAGAATTAAGTCATATGAAACGTGTGTTTCATATGGTAACAAAATATGGTTTTTATAAATTAGTGTAAAGTTTTTACGTGAGTGTTTCATTTTGCAAAGGATCTGAGGTGTTCTGCTAATTGGGTGTGTGGTTGTGCTAATTGTGTGTAGTGTTTTGAAAAACCGGGCCCTGTTTTCCAAAGCGTGCTTAAGCAATCGAAAAAAACTGTAATGTCACTGCCATGTTCTGCCCATATGATGGTTGAGCACCAGAGTTCTTTATGTTCCTGAGTACCACCCTGTTCGGTCACCTGTTTCTGGATCAGCTGTGCCTGCTTCCCTGCCTGTAAATTGTGGACAGTCTTAGTTATTAAAGCTCCTCCTTTGCACCCAGTTCTCTTGACATCCTGCACAGCCTTCATCCAGTCAGAATGAAGAAAGAGGCAACCCAGAGAACAAGCAAGTAAAGGTTTTGTTAGCAGAAGTCAGTTTTGGCGAGCATGCGTACCACACGGGCTCAAACACCCTAAGCAGTGAGTCCTGGTTTGACTCCTGGTTTACTGCATGTCATTCGTCTACTCTCTCCCTGCATTTCCTGTCCATCTCCACTGTCTCCATCAAGTGCAGACATAAAATGGCCAAAATAATAACATTAATAAAAAAGAAGTCAGTTTTGCTTCCTCTCTTTCACACCATATAGTGAGACCTCTCTACCTCTAAAATGTGAATTATTCAACCGCCTTATTCTAGGTCTGATGCTAATGCATATTTGACATCATCTAATGTCAAGTTTTGACCCAACAGCAATGATTTGAATCTGAGCCTGAGGAAAGTGTATTAGCACGTGTCTGTTCAGATAAAGACTGGATTCCTACGGAGGTCATCATCATTATCATCATCATCATTATCTTCATCATGGAGGTGTAGGCGGATGCTAACAGGATGCCATTGTCACTCTTTGCAGCGACGGGACTCAGTGTCATCACCTCCTCACCAAGCCTCAAGGAAGACGAGGAGAAAGAGGAGGAACGGTGATGGAGGTGTTAGTCATCCAGTAGTGACCTCCTTCTCCTCCCTCCTCCTCCGCTGCACGTCTTCTCTTTGAATTGACATCCACTCGGCTCCAGCCTTTCCCTCTTCCTCCCCATTTTCCTCTTTCTGCCTGGGGGAGAAGTCTCATCCCTGTTTTTTAGTTCTCTTTGTCTTTTATCCTCTCGTCTCATTTCTTCTTTCTTTTTGGTCTTAAAGCCTTTGTAATGGCTGCAGTTTGATACTTGCCTGATAGTTTCTTCTAAACAAATCAGCTGTGGGGGGGGGGCAGACTACCTTCAATCAAGCTATCAAAACATGAAATTTCCAGCAAGCAGATTTCATGCTGAGATTCTTCATGTAACTATTAAAGAATGTGACAACAAGAGCTGGATGTGGCATTTCCACATTTGTCCTTTGACATTTGGGTTTCAACAGGTGAAACTACTCGTGTTGAATCCTAATTACAGGTGACACGTGTCCTTATTTCCCCAACTTCTGTTGTCAAAAAATGGCCTTTCCGTGCCATTCCTTATCTTCAGCATTTGTTTGCCTCAGTAAAGGGAAGACTTGGGCCCTTCCAGTGACCAGCCTTCCTCTCAACATGCATTGTAACCATGATTATAATCTTTATAAGCATGAAACAAACCGTATGTTTTCTCTCTGCAGGCCCTGAACGGCTTCGTCCTCGTGGTAACGGCTGAGGGAATCATCTTCTTCTGCTCCCACACCATCCAGGATTACCTTGGCTTCCATCAGGTAAAAGTCACTTATCTCTGGCCTTTTCTTATTCCTCTCGACTCCTTGGATCATGCATTGTGTCTACCTTTAGTTTGACTTGTTTCACCCAGTTGAGAAAGATAACATTCCCCCCAAACACAGCACTGAGACTCTTGAAAGGATTTCCAATCCAGCAAAGGGCTGCACATTTTGTTACATGTGTTGCATCAACTACAGAACATGACTTTAAAACATCAGAGATTGAGGGTGGAAGTAGGCAGATACTGTTTTTCCTCCTTGTAGAGCTGAGGAGAATAAAATAAAGTCCAGATCTTTCTCCTCATGTGATCTTAGAACAGAGACAGCTTTACAATGCTGAGGTTTGCTAATATTATGTCCGATAAATTACTATAACATGAAATGAAAATACAGAAATATGTTTTGGTTGGAGCCGTTTATATTCTTACCATCACAGTAGTCATGGAGACTGAACATGTTTTGGATTATGAGGAATTAGCTTAGGCTGCACCTTTAGAAGGCAGGTGTCTCCTAGGAGGGGTGGAATTAACAGGCACAATGAGGTTGATGGTAAGCAGACCCAGAGAGCAGCAAGTGAACACATCGTCCTCAGCGCCCAGAGGACTGAAACAAATGCACATATGGAGAGAGAGGTTTAATCCAATTGGCTTCACAACAAAGCACCACAGCCCCCAGTCTAATCTCATTTTAGAGAATGTGATTATCCAATTATCTAAAGTCTGTCTGTCTGTCTGATACATACTTACATACATAAACACATTCACATCTAAATACAGATTGTAAACTCACACAATAACACACTGTACATCGACATGCTGTACTCAAACACATCTTTCCTCTCCCTCACACACACACACACACACACACACACACTTTTTGTTGCCAGGTCAGGGTGTGAACATCACCTCTCACCCCTCATTTCCCCATCCACCTGAGGCGCGTCACCTCTCGTTTTCCAAACAAACCTAAATCTTTGGTGAAGCAGCTGCCTCTGCTCACAACACACGCAGTGGGACGGCTAGGGAACCCATAACAAAAAAAAACATTGGGTGTCAGCAGCTGTTATAGCACCCTTGAAATAAGACACAACAGTGAAACTAGTAGGTAAAGAATAAATCAAGCATACAGACAAAGAGGGGGAAGAGGGATGGAAAAGTGGTCGCTATCATGGCTGTGTAAATGTCTTAGCATCTTGTGCTAAGCTAAACTAAGCACACTCCTATCCCTACAGGGATGTTTCTTGGATTAGTTGGGCACAATTGCTAGAGTTACCAGCAAGGCTTCATAAAGCACAAATACAGTTAATGAGAAAAATAATTCCCCTTTTCATTTTCATTTCATGTATTTCACATAACACCTCTGCCTGTTGAAATTCCTTTCTGGTGACCTGGTTTTGACCCCTCCCTCAGTGGGAGGGTGGTTCCACTCTGGTCCACAGCCAGGTCATGCTGGGTCTTGACGACAGATATTGGGGTCACAGCGGGTCTTTGGCTCCATTTCAGCTATTTGAATAAAACGTTCAGCGACACTTGATTTCTCTTGGCTCCACTTCAAGGCAAACGGAATCAAACGCACCCCTTAGAGAACCTGCTGACAGTTACTGCTTCAACAAAACATCCACCTTTACCCACATAGTCTCATAAAATTTTGAAATGTATTTCTTATGTGCTACTAATTGGGTGGTATAATTTCACTAGTATTTCATGCAGCTAAACTTAATTTTTTTTTTTTCTGAATGTATCTGTGATAATAAACTGTATATCTCTAAATATAAAGAGAAAATGTATCCTGAGCTCTGTTTCCTGTGTGCTGCTCTCCTGCCAGACTGACGTGATGCATCAGAGTGTGTTTGAGCTGATCCACACTGAAGACCAGCAGGAGTTCAGGAGAAACCTGCACTGGGCCCTCAACCCCCCTGCTGGCCTTGGACCCCCCCTGGATCCCTCGACAGGTCTGTTTCCTACAGTTCACTTATGCAGTATCTCCATGCTGTGTCTGTGATGAGCTGGTGCAGGAGAAAGGTCTGGATTATTATTATTTATTATAAACTAACATTTCCTATAACTCAGTGATGGTTTCTCTAATAAGTGAACCAAATCAAATATCAATAGACTGATTGATCATGTTCTGTAAGGAGATCAATGTTTGAAAGCCTTGTGGACAGGCAACATGAGGTGACCTTTAAATAAAGGCTCCTGAGATATGGTGTAAATATTACAGTGTATACACACACACACACACACACACACACACACACACACAGAAGCACAACACAGCAGTGGACACATCATCAACTAAAACAAACTCACAGTCGTTTTCACACATGCTCTTACTGTACATACTGTACACACACACAGACACAGACACATGCGCACACGCATGTCATTTTGAATTAGTTGAGGGTCAGCAGTCGGCAAGACACACAAACTGCACAAACACACACACCAACAACAGATCAAGGTCAAGTTGTCTCTTGATGTACAGTATTTAGACAGTTTCATTTTTGTTCTTCAGGCTCTGAGCTTCAGCACATTCAGTTTGAAATAAAATCATGGAAACTACATTTAAGTCTCAGCTTTTATTTAAGCAGGTTGACACCAATATAGAATGAAGTAAAATAGTAAAATAGAATTAAATATTTAATAAACTCAGATGGCGAGTCGGTGTCGACCCCTCCCTGCCTGGTGAGCTACAGCCCTGACCAGCTTCCACCTGAAAACTCCTCTTTTCTGGAGCGAGGCTTCGTCTGCCGCTTCCGCTGTTTGTTGGACAACTCCTCCGGCTTCTTGGTGAGATACAGATTAAGATACATTTGTTTTCCTAAAGCGTGGTACAGTGTTTTTTTGGTGTATGATGTAATGTCTGGTGTGCTATGACTATATTTAACCAGGGAAGGGAACGTTAGATGAACTAGTTTTATAAACATGATGATATTAGTTATGTACAAATAAAGTGATAAAATGAATCCATCTTAGCGGTTCCTAGTGTTTTGAGGCCTGTTGGTTTTGCTGGCAGTATGGCGTGCCACCTCAGAGTCCCTCGGGGATCAGAAGCCACCATTTACTCCTGTAATCCGCCTTAAGAGAGCCTCGGGGTCGTGGGGAAAAGGGTTTTAATCCTCCCACCACCCAGAGGAGACAAGAGCAGAGGGAGAACTTGCTTAGTCAGGGTTGGTAGCTCCTGACCTGCCTCTGCTGCTCTCACTGAGTCAATTAGCTGCTGATGGAGGAAAACATGCTGCGGTTCAGTGGCAGCGCAAATCCCATAAACCTGTGGGGGAAAATGGGGCAGGGTCCCAGATGAGCAAGGCATTTAAAGGCCACACACACATACACTGAACTGCTGCTGATGTTTACAGAGAGGTCAGAGGTCCAGGTATGGACCTTTAAGAGATTCATTGTCTTGCTCGAGGGCTCATGAAGGGCTTTGAATCTGCATCTCTCCATCCTCCCTCCCAGTGTGTTTGCGTGAGCAGTAAGCCAGGTTTGTACTTGTGTCTACTGGTCGCTATGGCTTTGTTTTTCGTAATCCCTCCTGCTATTCAAGGCTAGATTCCTGACATCACGGCTGCAGGCTCTTAAACCCACCAAAGTCAATTAACCAGAGCTAACGGGGGGGGGGGGGGGGTCTTCACACGAGATGCCACAGGGTGAGAGGAGGACATCTGACAGGAGAAAGTGTTTTCAAGTTTTGTTTGAGCTCGTAAAACTTCCCTATTGACTGAAAGTTGACTCAACTAGACCCCCTAAAGGTTTCTGTGATTTCTGTTCTGTTTAAATGCAGATTAGTTAGTTACAAACTCAGATCTCATCAGCTTCTAGACATGTCGGTCATGGTCAAACTACCTTTACTGCCTCTTTATATTATTTTCTATTTGATTAAAAGTGAAATTACTGCTTAAGCATTTGTAATCTCTTTTTATGTCATTATGTCATCTTATGTCATGTTTCCTCAATAAGCTTTACATAAAGGAGATCTGCCTATGTAACAATACAAGTAAACAAATGAACAAAATCATGGGCAGATGATAATCACAAAACCTCCATCTATTGACGGAAGTCATTATTAGCAATTTGTCCATATTAGCCCAAACAAGTGGAATTGTACCTCACTTTGACTCACTGATGAAGATGATGAAAAAGTCTCATGACAAATGAGTCACTTGCTGGTGTAAATACTGTAATTTACTTTGTGTTGATGATTGCCAGATTCATGACACTGTGACACTGTCTCGATATTTAAATCCTTACACCAGATGCATCAAATCCCAGTCTCTTCAATATCGTATCTAAACAGCGTACAGTAAGTCGTGATCAGAGGTGGAGTAGATGGAGGGGATTTCTGAAAGAAAAACCCAGGGGACCCAGTGTGTTCAGGATAAATAAGACTAATGGTGTTTGACAGGGAAAAAAGACTCGCTCGTCTGCTCTGGGGGCTTGATGCCACAGTCTGAGAGAGAAAAGAGGAAGAATCAGAGGCAGGGAAAAGAGAAAAAGATTCACATCCTTCTCTGTAGGTCTTATTTGTTCACTGTGATGATGCAAATATGTCAGAATCAATGTGGCACTGATTTACTAACATGAAATTGGTCTGTTCTTTCAGGCGTTGAACATCCAGGGTCGGTTGAAGTTCCTCCACGGTCAGAGCCGTCAGCATTGTGACAGCAAGGACAGCACGCCGCCTCAGCTCGCTCTCTTTGCCATCGCCACACCCCTCCAGCCTCCAGCCATCCTGGAAATCAGAACAAGGAATATGATCTTCAGGACCAAACACAAACTCGATTTTACACCCATGGCCTGTGACGCAAAGTACATACAATTAAAACTTCAGTTTGGATGCAGATGATGATGATGCTAGAATGACTCAACTGTCAATTATTTAGCACAGTTGTGTGTTAAAGTTTGTTACTGATGTGTGTGTCCACTGATTTTCCTGGACTTTCAGGGGTAAAATAGTTCTGGGCTACACCGAGGCGGAGCTGAGAGTTCGTGGTTCAGGTTACCAGTTCATCCACGCTGCCGACATGCTGTACTGCGCTGAAAACCACGTCCGAAGTAAGTCACAGATGTTTGCTGTCTACATGGTTTACATCACAGTTAATGAAACTGAAAGGTTGCAGCTACAAATCACTGGAAAGACTGATCCTTGAACAAAGCCTGCCAAGGCGCTCTTGTGCAAGGCAGCAAAGCTTCAGCTACTTTCACGAAGTGTCTCAAAAATGTAAAGGGTTTCATTGCTGCTAGGAAGAGTTTTTACCTAAAACTATGACTTTTCCATGAATCAACCGATCCAGGATCAGTATATAATCAGATTGAAAGGTGGCTCAACATTATGCAACATACAAACAAATACTGTGTGTCTGTAGCTGATGGAGTGAATCTCTGTGTGGGAGTCAAATGTCCTACTTAGCTTGTGTACCGGATGACCCGGTTAGTCGTAACCATGGTGCCCTCAACACCCGCATCACTGATACCAGACACGCTCAACCACACACATACAAACACATACTGTATGCATGTGGTCATGCATACAGAAGCAGAAATACATGCATATGCATTTGGTAGCATACAACACAGATACATGCATGTTCAGCATGCTCTGATGCACACACAGATGGGAGGGCAGGTTTAGCTCAGACAACACAGACTCCAACACAATCCACATAGTAACAACATGTTAACAACATAATAACAACATTTTGAATATTTTGCTGTAACAAGTCTACTACTAATTCAATGTCCTTTATCCTCAGTATGCTCACTCTGGTCAAATCTGTACAGTGCAGATGCCTTTTCACTCCTATATTAAATAATAATAATAGTAATTCTGTCATCCACCATGCTGGGTTTATGTAGGGTCAGCAGAGATGATTGGGCCTGTTGGAGAATACAGACATTTACTCCTATAAATGAAAAACAAAATGAGGCCACAGATCTAACCAACAGAAAACTTACCATTTTCACTTGTCTGTTTTGTTGAAAGTGATACAGCTCATCGTTAGAGACATGTTGGGTTAAGAGATTCCTAAGGGCAGTGAGATATTGTGTTTTGTATGCAGTAGAGACGCAAAAAGCAAGACTCAAAACTAGTGTAAAAATATAATAATAAATAATGGATGCCAATAGTAAGGGATATATGTATGTCATTTGGTTTGTTGTTATCAGTTTTGCCCCCTTTCCTTTGTAAAATATATTTAAATAGAAACAAAAATATAAATACAAATAAAAAGTGACAAAAAAAGAGAATGATTATGTTTAATTAGTTTCAGGGAGAATGAACAAGTTGGGCTGTAAAGTAAGTTTATAGTTCAGCTTCACTGTTTTTTCACCTTGATGATATGAAGGGATAAAGGTTTTTCCTCAAACATAAATATTGTAGTTCCTTCTGAAGGTCAGCAGCTAAAAATACATAGTGATGACTCTGACACTGATACAAAAACTATTTAGGCAGTTTGGTCAAAGCAACTCTGATATGATTGTCTTTTATGATTTTGTCATTTCACATGAAAAGTATTTAGTGTTTTATCCATTCATCCATTTTTAGTCTCTGAGACAGACCATAACTGGACATGAATATTCTCTTTTTAAATCCAGAATAAATGTCACTTGTAATAGTTTAAAACTGCCAGTATATAAGAACCTGACAGCAGAGATCGGTTGGTATCAACTGTGGTATATTAGTCTAACTTACAGTCTTTCTATGAGGAAGCATTGTTGTACTGGTTTGGACCTGAGACTGTGTTTCACTGTGAAGCTTGTTTAGAAACTAGACAACACAGAAACACGACCAGCACCGCAATTGCACACACCAACAGACACAACACTGAGCCTGGAGATGAGGGATTTGGGTTGAGGGATGTGATGGTGTATGTTTGTGTGCTGGGTCACATAAGTGTGCAAACAGGACTTGTAACATGTGCAAGTAGCCAAAGTGAACATCAGCATGTAGCCTCCATCTCAGCAGCACGGAAGACTGAGCAAATGCAGTGTGAGTGTGTGTGCACTGCGGGGCGTACAGAACGTAAACAGCAGTGACACGGAGCCTCCAATGTCTCGTCTCATATGATTCCAGTGATAAAGACGGGCGAGAGCGGCCTCACCGTCTTCAGGCTGCTCACCAAGGACAACCGGTGGAAGTGGGTCCAGGCCAACGCCCGGCTCGTCTACAAGAACGGCAAGCCGGACTACATCATTGCCACCCAGAGGCCTTTGGTGTAAGTGTAGAATGATTCCACCTGGATTTTTGAGTTTCACTTTATTCGTCTGTTAATTTCCTCTCTGTAACATCTCTCTCACAGGGATGAGGAAGGAGGGGAACACCTGAGGAAGCGATCCATGCACCTCCCTTTTACCTTCGCCACCGGAGAGGCGCTGCTCTACCAGACTGGTTATCCGCTGCACGGCTTCCCTGATTCCTTTCAGGGCAAAGCCAAAGGCAGCAAGTCCAAAAAGGGCAAACTGGACAAGAGCTCTGAAGATGACCTAGACCCAAAGTCCCTGCTGGGAGCACTGATGAGCCAGGATGAATCCGTGTACGTCTGCCAGCCAGACACAGAGCCTAAGATGTCCTACCACAGCAGCCTTTTTAGCGAGCAGCAAAGTGAGACTGATGGTTGTGGTAGCTTGTTAAGTGGAGACAGCTGGCATGTTGTATCTAACGGAGAGACAGGGAGATGCAATGGTAAAACATCCAGTTATGATCCACTTCTGTCCACTCTGGATTCCTTGTCTCTAGACGGTGACGAGACATGCTCCAACAGCGAGCTATTCAGCGCTCTGGAGAATCTAGGCCTGAACGCCGAAGACCTGGAGCTCCTGCTGTTGGACGAGAGGATGATCCAGGTGGAGCTCGACCCCAACCACATCCCGACCCTCAGTGACCTTCTCACCAACAACGAAATCCTCTCCTACATCCATGATTCTCTGGAGAGTGGCACTGAGGGAGAGGAACAAGGGACCAGAGGTGGATTTGGACCCTCAAGCCATCCACCAAACCCAGACTCAGCCCCAAGTGTCTCCCAGCGGGCATGTTTGACACCTACTGTCCCTCCAGCTCTTCCAAGCAGCAGGCAGCCCATTGTCCAGCTGTCACAACAGATGCAGCAACACATCAGTGCAGGTGAGCTGGTGAAAGCTCAACCGGGGCAGAGCCAGTCCGTCTCCCAGCCTGGACCTGTGGACAGCAACATTTTACCTGGGATTCCTAATGGCCACTGGGTGGTCACGACGGAGAACCACCATCATCCCAGCAATCACACCCATCACCACCAACATACTGTTCTCAAAACCCCACAGGTGAACGGTGAACATAAACACCTTAATCCACTTCTGGGAGCAGGTCAACAGTGGCAGCTCCAGCAGGACCACCACTCAGTCCAACTGCAGTCCCATCAGCAGGGGAGCAGCCAGATTGCTTTGTTGCCTGGTTACCAGAATCAGCTTGGACTGACAACACCCGGATCTTACATCCCAAACGGACACACAGCCTTTCCACCAAACATGGAGGTCAGCCACACACGTTACAGTATCTCCAACACACCACATGCAGGTGGCACAGGACTGACAGGTGTGATCACACCGGATGTTTATCTCTATCAGAGGCCCTACCAGCTGCAGGGTCACCACATACACCAGCAGCAGCAGCAGGTGTTGCAGCAGACTCAGGTTCCTCCATCTTGTTTGCCCCGGTGTCCCACCCAGAGCTCTGCGCTTGACTTGGAGCAGTTACTGGGTGTGTCGCAGCCACAGCACAGCCTGGCGTCATTAGAGGCCTACAACATATTCAACAGCAGTGCAGAGGAGACCACTCACAGCAAGGTAAGAGACCAGAGACATGAAGGGCACATGATGAAAAATACTACAGGTAATGATTGTCAACCTAAGCTGGCTCAGTACTGTTACAAACATGAGGTGAGGTGATTGGGAATCAGAGTGTAATAAACATATCAGTGATTTTCTCTGGAAGTCACAGTGAAGCTTTAAACTCCGCCCATCAGGTCTGTGTGGAGGTGGTTTGATCACATTTGACTGACGGTGCCTGGCAGCACAAGCAAAGAGCCCAACAACGGTCAGCTGATTTTGATTCAAATATAAGTAAATCTGATTTGGCCTATTAAATAAACATTCTGTCAATCAAAACACTTTTATAGAGTTTAATCCAGGGTGACTGCAAATAAACAAGTGTCATGAAACTCAGAGGTTAGAGGGTAATATCCTGTTTTATATAACATTCCCACAGGGAAAACAGGGCTTATGCTGCATGTCTACGAGCAGGTGACTAACAGTCATCCTGAAATTGCTTCCCACTAAGATCTTCTGTCTCATGTCATGTCTGTTCTGTCCTCTTTTCTTTCTGGCCATCTCAAAACAACTAAAGCTGCCAGCTCTCCTCAAAACTGTTTGGTCTGGGAGCCAGAGCCTTTGTTTGTGGCCCATCAGTGAGGCCTGAAGTCTGTGTTGCCCGCAAATATCAGTGAACATCAACAAACCAAGGGTTTGTCTGCAGAATCTACAACTCCAACCCTTCAACCCTGCGCTGTTCTCTTTCACTGTCATGGAAATGGATTTTTTCCGAGTCAGCACACAGAGGCCCAGGGCTGGCATGGAGCTCAGTGTAAACTGTGATGATGCGACCAGACATGCCATGTAAATAAGACAAGGGGGAGATGGGTCAGAGCAGCAGAGTCTGAGAATACGGTCGACTAGAATCTAATGCAGCAGATCTGTAGAAGCACTGAGGTTTTATCACTTCTACAGGAAACATTCTTTGGGGGTTTGTTTTATTTGTGCTGAATATTTTTGCAATGCTCAGTGTGAAAGTGAATGACCTCGAGTGCTCGTGCACCAGGCAGCACCTCTACTACTCATTCAAAATTGTTTGCCCAAATCTTAATGTCTTTGCTGAATTGTGATTATTGGTCACTTAATTCTTCCGGTCTTTTTCAGCATATACTACATAGAAGATTATGATTCAGTACGTCAGTGCGTCTGAAGTGTAGAGCTAAAACATTAGTCAACTACTCCACCAGTCGATTGACAGAAAATCAATCTGAACTTGTTTGACAATCAATTAATTATGTACGTGATTTTTTAAGCCAAAAAGCTTCTGAAATATTTTTTCAGTCTTGTGTAAAAGTAAACTAAGTATCTTTTACACTTTGTGAAATTGTCATGGGCTTTCTATTATGTATGAATAGACTAGATACAGTAAGCCATTGTCAGGATCTTGATGCACTGTTGGAACTCAGATCCCAATAAGAGTATTTGGGTTGCTTAATGAGACTGTATAATGTTCAGGGGAAGCAGGAATTCATCTTTAAAGACCAACAAAAACTTTTTCCACTAATGACAGAGCTGTGAGGGCTGGGGAATGTCATCCTGAAAACGCTAATCAGTTAGAGTACAAAGAGACGCGCGGTCGGGGGTCTAGAGAAATTCTCATCGTAAAACATAATGAGGTAACAAGACCTCGCCAATCAGTGCTGCCAAACTGAAGTTAAACCAGGAACGTCTCAGGAGCTCCCACAACTGCCACCACTGGTTTATATTTCTGCACCAGTAGAACAAGTCGGCATTGTTCATTTAACTGTGAATAAACAAACTCAAACAACAGACATCCTGTTGGTTAAAAACACACAAAGTTCTATGAAAAGCTCTGCTGTAGGTTAAATCTCACCTTTGCTTTTTTGGATTTGTTTCTCAAGCTAGATAACTACAGTAACCTCCATGTCCATCATGTGATATCGTTACTGTGTCTGTGTTTCATGAGCCAGCACTGGACAGAGATGGCACTGAAGTCAAGTGCAAAAAATGTAAATTTGAAAGGTTAGTGTACGATAAAAGTTATCAGAAAAAACATCCCATCATCAATGCACTGTCCTCCATCTAATTCTTCGGTGTTATTGTTCCGTAGTGTTCTGTTTTTCCAAGCATGAAGAGCATCATTGGTGTTTAGAGCGATAAACAAACTCAGAGATTACAAAGGAGATATAATGAAACATGAGAGAATGTGCCAGAGAGAGGACAGGAAAGCAAAGCGGCAGTAGTGAGAAAGAGTACAATAATGAATAGAATAAGGTCGGGACGGGCCGCAGTCGGCCCCAGAGATGGTCGACCCCGGCAGGCATCCATTCATATCCGGCCCATTCAGCCTCCACTGTTATTCTTCAGGGTCAGTGACTGTCGCTGAAAGAAAAATACTGGCAGGCTGGGCAGTCAAGCATGAGCAGTGCTGACCTACAATTTGACTGTCATCATTACCTAATGCTGTGAATGCAGGACGGGGGGGGAGGCAGGCGATGCAGCAAGAGACTATTTTCAGCTCACAGAAGCAGGACTCTACTGTAGTTTGATTTACTTTCATTTGAGTCCCTGTGTGTGCCATCTGTATAAATCAGCTAATAGACTCATTGTTGCAGCTCTACAGTGTGAGAGAGACCTGCAGAGAAAAAGACAAGATCTACAGCACATAGTTGTACAAATGCTAATTTTCTAACTGGTAATCAAGTCTTTTAAAAAACAGCTGTTACTATAGCGGAACCAATGCAGTTTAAGCAGAGAAAATACTGAAAGCTTCACTGACATGATACAAGACTGAGACAGAAACTAGTAGAAAACAATAAAGAATAAAAAAATAGAGGTGAAAGCGTTTCAGTGAGTGACAGTTGCTGGGAGGACAAGAGTCGACTGTGACTGAGAAACAACAGAATCACTGACACTGTAAACATGACTAATTATTCACGGACACTTTATATGATTAATGCTATCCAGGGTACTTTAACTGTGTGCTATGCTAATGCTAAATAAACATCACTTGCAGATATTTCAGCACGTGTGAAAACAGACTCTGCTGCTAAACTCCTAAACAAAAGGATTGGTCAGCTGTTTCCATGTTTGACATCATTTGGGAAAATAACAGAAATATTGTAAACATCACATAAAATGACCTCTTTAATTTAAGAATTTTAACCTGAAAAGAATCTTTTTAACAGTTAATTTGATTTAATCCAATTTAATATGAAAAATGTTGCTGTATATATGTTTAAATGTGGTTTGAATTGAGGATTATTCTGCTGGTGTACTCACTGTAAGTCACTCTATATGACAGTATCAGCAAAATGCCTGAAGTGCAACAACTCAGGTTGTTGTGAAGCAGTTCATTTCTCACACACTTGAACTAACTCTCTGACAAACAACCTAATCTGTTTAGACTCACTGAAGGAGAATACAGTCACTGATGAAATGCAACAGCTACATACTGTAAATATTCCTCCCTCCCTCCCCTCTTTCTATCTCCTGTTAATGTCTCTGTACACTTCCTCCCCCCTCACTCCTTCCCTCCATCAGCCCTCCTCTTCCTCCTTCTCTCAGGACTTCAGGTCTGCTGCTCAGTGCTTATTTCCTGACATGACCTGCTTCATGTGATTAAGGTCAACAGTGGCTCCATATCTACATATAGTAACAAATACAAAGAGCAGTCTGAGTAATTGCATCTGTGAAAACCTTATCCAAGGTGAAATACTCAAACACAAGGCAAAAGAAGACATTTCACAAACAGAAACTGTGACACAAATAAAGAGATCAAATCCAATCACACAAGTATTGTCTTTAAAATGTGATCATGTTTTTCAGCTGGAGAACGGCTGCCTCCTCAACACAGCGTACATGAAGACGTGTCTTATGCCCAATGGAAATGGAGTGGTGACAGACAACATCCCCCACTCGGCCCCCGAAGGACTCCCTGCTCTACAGGACCCCCCAAAGTCTGGATTCTTCCTCTGAAGGGAGGAGGGCCAAGCATCAGTGGAAGGCTAGAGAAGGTACAGAAGGAAAAATAGAAAGATTATAAACTGGACTGACTCGACTGGATATGATTACACTATCATTTTAATGAAATGATTAGATCGAAGAAAAAAAGAGAGAAAAATGTCAACTCTTTTTATCAGGTTCTCTTGCATTTAAGTCTGATCCCATACTGAGACATCACACTCATGCTGCTCAGAGAACCGGGTTACACAGGTAACATAAAGATAGGTATGATGAGGATAAAAGGAATCAAGAGGAAGAAAGTACCTTTTTTTTTAATGTCACACTGTGTGTTATAATATTACTAACTAGTCATGTGCTCACTACAAGTTTTGTTCTCATGTTTGGATCAGATTTGTGTTTTTACCATCAGTAAGACGTCCAGTTTACTGACTCACCTGAACATCAACCTGCCAAAACTCATCAGCTCCTGATCTGTATATACACTGTGAAAGTCCTGAAGAGAAGAAGAGTAGACACTGACACTGAACCAGAGTGGTAACACTTTATCTGGATAGTCCCATGTTGATACTCAAATGTGACAAAGAGTTGATGACAAAATGTTGAACTCCTGACTCAAGATAAATCCCAGCCCAGGCAATCGATGTCTACCAGTTATTTTAGTGCCATATAATATGATAGAAAGCTTTAAAATAAAAACAGTGGGAATCAATTTCATGATGTGCACACTTTACATTACTCCTGACAATTTCCTGAAGCATTCTGCACCTTTTAAAAATGATTTTCTACTTCACAAGTAGCTGTTGGTTTAAGTTTCAGTCTGAAGTGATGTTCAAGTTTCAGAAACTTTAAAACCTTCTTCAGAGTTCATTTATCACAGTAAACAAGCAGTGTGATTACCGTCATGTGTTGCAAACACACACCATTGTCAAATGCTTTCTTGATGATGACTCAACCTTTTCCTGTATGATGTCTGCAAGTCTGCAACTTGATTTTTATTGAATTTTTATTTCTCTCCAACCGCTGAGACTAGAGGTTGTCCAGCTGGTGTGGATTTTTCTAACTTAAACAATGGCAGTACGCTTTGACAGACAGTCAGCGGTGATATTAAAAGAAATGATGCGCAGTTAACGGGCTGAAACATGCTGAGCCGCCTCATTTAAATTTACAGTATTTTAAATGTGGACATTTGGAGATATGTGGAAAACACTCACAAACTTGAACTTCCTAAAAAGATATTACAGGAGTGTAAGTACGTGCTGCTTTCACTGGTCTAGCACCTGCTGGTATTCTGTGTTTCCTCTCACAGGAGTGTGAATACTTAGTCTTTTACTCAGTATGTAAGTGGAGAAGGAACATTTACACAAACAGCCATGAGATTTGGACTGAACACACCAACAGATTATTTAAACATCGGTGTTTTGTTTGTCACCTAGAAGTAGAGGAATTGTAGGGTTAGTGGATGTTGTTCGTCCTGGTGCTTTAAATGTCAACAAAACAGCATTTCAATCCTTTATATTGTTGAGATGAGATTTAAACAAAGTGTAAAAGGTGAAAATCAGGAGGGAAGAGCAGTCGAAAGGTTTTTATTTATTGCCGCTGCTTCTGTGGCGTCAACATTTATCCTAATGCTGCATTTTAGCCTATTTGAGGTTTACAATGATGTGCACTTACATGTATATAACAGACATAATCAGAAAGGCTCTGGTTTGTCTGTCAGTGGCACTGAAGTCAAACAAAAAAGCATTTTTGTTTCCTGACCGGAGACAGTGTGAAACTCTCCCGTTAATGCCTTGTCTCGTGGCCACGGCCAGTCAGACTCCCGCTTACTTTACCCTGCAGTGATGTCGTGTGGAAACACTGAGTGCACTTACATGCACACACTAATCCATTAAGGACCTAATTGTAAATAATAGATTACGACTCAAGGCGGAAGAGGAAGTGCATGTTCCTATTTCTCAAGTTTTGTTTTCCTGTAATCACAAAAGGAATATTATTATTATTCCATGATTGAGAAAAATGCCGGGAACAGTAGATTCATTCAAATAAAACATCAAACTAATCTTTTTTTTTTATTTTCATATCTGGCCATTATTTGTATGTGAGGAAAACTATGAGTAAAGAAGCAAGTGTGTTACATCCGTCACAGTGAAGGATGAACACCTACTCTACTCTGAATTTAGAGGTGTTATTGTTAATGACTGATTGTCACTGAAACAAAAGCTGGACACTCAAACCAAACCTTGCCACGCTCAACAGAGCTAACAGACACAAGCTACAAGCTCTGAGGTGAAGTCGTCCTTGTTGTCTTATCTATAGTTTTTGTCCCTGAGGAGTTTCTCTCTGCAGAACTGACTTCCTCCCACTCTTCCTGGGAACGTATCAAACAACTGTAGATGAGACATTTCAACTTTTATTAAAGCCACTGATAAACACACAGTGACAGACAGTACACACTGCTCTTGACCATTTCACTGAGACACAGACAGGATAGTGTCTGTGTTGTCAAACAAACCACTCACCAGGATCTTCCTCTGAGCTTGTGACGGCTAAACAACTCCCACAGCCATCAGTGGGACATGAAAACTTATGTTGCGTTCATGTCATGTCAGATTAACTGTAAATTACAGCTGCAGCTTCTCACTGAAAATTACTATAGAGGAAATAGTAATTAACACGTGTGGAGTCTTTTTTTTTTTATGGACATCATGTAACAGACAACCTTCAACCCGTGTCACAGTGATGCCTAGTTCTGTGTTGCATTATATCTTTATAAAAGGTCACATATGCCAGCTTTAATGTGAACATGCACACTAACCTCTCACCAGGTCACAGGTGACTCTTATTGTCCTGCAGGGGAAAACGTGCCAGAGAATATACATTTTTCACATCTGAATTAAAGGCTTGCAAGTGTGTGTGAAAATCAATTGATAAATCACAGAAAACACTGTCAGTACTTTAAAAATCTAAATATTCAGTTGCATTCACATTTACAAAATGTTCTCTACATGTGTTGTAGTTTTTTTTTTACCTCATATTTTAACATATAAATTAGCTGGTTTCTGATATGACATGAATGCAGTATTACTCACTCACATTTAATAGACTTTAAAAAGTAAAAAAAAGCTTCACTCTCAGAAGCTGCAGTGTTTAGCATTTAGCAGCGACTCAGAAAACCAAATGAGAAACGTGAACACACGTGTCTGCAGTTGCTCCGTTGTTGAATGTCTCGGGTAAAACTGTAAAGGCTTTTAAAACATGAAGCTTTTGTTTCACTACAGAAAGGTGCTCAAAAGATATTAGTAGCGATAGCTGAAGACAAAACGTCTCAACGACAAAATGCATTTACAGATTTGCCTCTGTTTGTTTTTGCAATTTTTTTGTAAAATGACTTCTAAGAAAAACAGATTATTTAAAACCAGTTGTGAGATCAAATGATGTATGAAAGAAAAAATTATGAAGAGACAATCATTTTCCAAGGCGCTTTAAAAAAAAAAAAAAAAAAAGAAAAAAAGAGTGGTTGTGTGTGTGTATATAACTGTGTTTTCTATTGACGTTGTTGCAAGCACTACTTTAAATCACTGCTCTTACAGACTGTCTCCAGCACTGAAAGTAGTCTTGTAGAAAAAAAGCATTTTATGACTCTGTGTTGTTTGAATATTGTTCCCAAGAGTTGTGTGTTTTATCTTTATGAAGACAGTTTGTCACTTTAGCTCAAAACAAAATGGTGCCATAACGGTGAGCCCAGACTTACCTCCGTTCAGTATATGAAGAATACAGTATATTTCAAAACACTTGAGCAACATTTTATGTAAAAAAAAAAAAAAAAAAAACTTTTAGATTTTTTTCTGAAGTTTATCTTTTTCGTATCTTTAAAATCCACTTTGTCCACAGATTACCTTTGAAACTGAATTAACTGCTTTATATTTATGTTGTCAGCCATTTTGTCAGAGTTGAAATCAAACTGAACTTTGAAACCAAACTCTCCATAAGCTGTTAAATAGTGGTTCATGTTTTTAAAGGCACACAGACATTATTTTGCTACTTTTATCACTGAAAGTTGTAGGTGTGTGTAAACAGGATTTTTAAAAATGCAGTTTGTCTTTGAGCCGTGTGTTGAAATGTGCTCTTGAATCCTGGAAATAAAGGATTTTGTGCAATCACCCTGAACTGTCTCCTCTCCTCTCTTTCACTGTTTCTGTCTGTACTGATGTCTCCTGTCTTTTCAGAGCCTCACCTGCCCACCAGGCGTCAGTGTAGCTCCCCACTCCATCCATCACCTGACCTGCTCACCTGTTCCTTCAGCTGTTCCCCATTCCCCACTCATCCCTTCAGGCAGAGTACAGAGTAGCCAGCCAGCCAGCTTCTTGAGCTCAGATTGTTGTTACAGGAAAATTAGGTAAGAAATTAACAAGAACTTTAATTAAAAACACATAAAAGTTGGTAACATGAACACTCAGGTGGTGAGAGAAGACTCACACTTATTGTTTTTTATGTAAATCCACAAACTGACAATATCTTGATGTTATTGTTGGTTGACGAGGATCAAAATCACACATCAGTTCTCCGGTAAATAAATATCACCCAATATTTTTTTTAGAAAAAACATTTTTATCCCTTAAATTTTTATGATGAAAATAAAGTCAGTGCTCTCTGGTGGACAAACTAACCATGTTTCTGAATTAGCTCAACCCTCTCAGCTTTTGTCATTTATCGGCCGACATACACACACAGCTGTTCAAAGTTATAAACAACTGACCATATTGGTCACGGAAATGTTTCTGTCAGTCTCTGGTGACAGTAACTGCTTCCACATACACAACACGGATCAAAACCAGTGATGATTAATCGTGACACTGTAAAAATTAAACTCAGGTAACGAGGAAATAGAATGAAATTAAATACCACAAATAAAAACATGATTACAGCAACAATCAAAAGCAACAAAAACTTGAACACATTAAGTGTTAGATGATGATGACAGGTGTGTCGCAGCAATAACCAATAAGGTGAAATCCAGCCTGAGCTGCATTATGGGA